GAGTTGAGGCCATTTCAATTGTTGGTCTTGAAGTGACAAGAAAAGTTTGGACGCACACTCAAAATAAAATTTCGTTTATATAACGAAATTGCTCATTTGTTCTACGAATTTATTCGTTGTTTTCTGCAACGAAATTGATTTGTACTACACTGCAAAAAATTAATTTTAATTTCACATCAAAGTGGATGCACTTCAATCGTGTCAAAAATATGGTGTAATATTACTTGCCAAAGAGGACAAAATTATCATTAAAACAGTGCATGAACAGACATTTCGCTGCTTTTACTGCATTTGATCATTTTTGTGGTCATATAAATTATATGAGATTTTCGCGTGGTTGAAGTGGATCCTCTTGGATGTACTATACAATTTATTTTTTGCTGTGTAGGGGCATCCCACTGTAAACTTTAGTTCCAAAACTCATTAAGTATTGTTAAATCCCTCTTATGTGTTTTTAAGTACCGTAACGCACAGCAAAAAAATAATTTTGATATCACATCAAAGTGGATGCACTACAATCATGTCGAAAATTTCATGTAATTTTTATGATCACATAAATAAACAAATGCAGTAAAAGCAGCGTAATGTCAGTTCATGCATTGTATTAATGATAATTTTGTCCTTTTTAGCAAGTAATATTACACCATATTTTCGACATGATTGTAGTGCATCCACTTTGACGTGATATCAAAATTATTTTTTTGCTGTGCGGGGTATCTTTGTTAACGCGGGTAGCTTTGATAGTATAATATAAATATTAAATTTACTCGATGCGCTTTTTTCAAATTAGTAACATTGGCTCCGTATTGTAGCTAAGGGTATTTCCTTAGATATCGTGTGTAGTTTTTATAAAGTATGTGTTACATATTTTACAAAGATATTTAAAAACAATTTTTGTGTTTTTTGGTTTGTTTGAAAAAGCACTAAAACCATCACTTATGAAATGTATTTCCGATATAGTCATCACAAATTCAATATTGTATTCTCTTTCCTTATGATGTTTTCTGATTATATACTCATTCAAAGTTTCATATTGAAAGAACTAATTTGTTTGTTGTTTTACCTCTCACCCCAGCAGGCCTGGGTTCAATCCCAGTCGGCGCCGCCGGGATGTTCTGAGGCATAACATCTCTGATCACGCCTTCCTTCGGATGGGAAGTAAAGCCGTTGGTCGCCGGTTCATGAGTTGATGGGTCGATAGGTAGGGTCCAGGTGTGGGAGTTGCCTTCCTGGCACGTCGGTAGCATTGGTGCTCAGCACGGAAAACAAGATCGACGGAAAAAAACAAACCAAAGGAAAAAAAAAACTAATTTGTTTGAATTTCACTCATGTTCTTCTACATTCATCGAGCACTATCAAAGTAGCCTAAAATCAAAATACTGAAGTTCGGCCACAAAACTAAAAAAAAATGTGCAAATATTTCAATTTCCATTAAACAAATTACTAAAGAATAAACTCTTGGATCCTCAGTACTTGTTTTAAAAATATAAAATTTGAAACAAACTTCATTTCTTTAAAAAATATTTAGAATATACTTTACGTTTTACGGTATTTTCAAATATTTTTATTTTGACGTTATTTTGGTCATAGTAAGTCTTGGCTGCAACATCGGTTTCTAGTGCAATTGTTTTTTATGTCGATGTCAAACATTACACGTGAATTTTGCAAAATGTCTACCGAAGAGTTTGTCTCGTGTACGGTATGTAAAATATCTATTTATTCACTGTACTCATACTGATACGATAAAATAGCTAGTTTGATGATTTGAATATCATTTAATTGACTATTGCTGTTATTCATTTTATATAAAATATTTTATTTGCAGTCATCATCCAACGGGGCTTTGGTGATTTCCCTGTAAAGGTGAAAAGGTGCTGGACGTACTGACAATTCCAGGTAGGCTAACCATAGCGCTCTTGAAGTCTGAAGCTACATCACAATTGGAAGAGGACATGATGACGATGACAGAGTCAATTTGGAAACGGCAGGACGTCAACTATGCAGACCTGTATTGGGACTTCAGTGAAACCCCGAGAACTTCCACCTTTTTACCCCATTGTTACCCCTAACCTCGAGCATGCCACGAGTAATCGGTCCTCGTTCCACTAACAGTAAGTTTAAGAAAACTCTGTTAATACAAAATTGAACTTCAGCTTTGTGAAGCTAATGCAAATGAGCTTTGACCAAGAAGTAGGTCACTCCGCACACCAATCTTGGGTTATCTTTTTTGTCAGTGTGCCGCAAGTATGCCGATTGTGCCGGTCATAGAGCAAGCTGCGATTGTTTGTAAAAAAATACCCATCCCGGCAACCCGGTATTCTGACACCTTGACCTTTTGGTTTGAAATCGCAAGGATTTATCGGATTGAGGATGACGCGGGAAGTGGCGGGTGTACAAAATTTCTGTGTTTTGTGATCTATAGGGTAATAAAAGTCCTATGGTTTAGTGTTTTATAATGCCCTCAAAGACAGACCAGAAACGTAGCCTTTCGGCCGGAAATAGTTGGAACCGGTGGGGAGCATTGCTGGAGACCAACTATAGAGGGTGATGAATAGACTTCTTTAGTTTGTTTTGTGTGAGTTGGCATTATTTGAATTAAGGGTACTAATGAGGTCTGATTAACTGCCTCTTCCTCTTGAGTCCACTCTAGAACCTACATTTCGTATTTAGATCTATAAGTGAACTGCTGGTCTGAGTTCCTATGATATATTTAATTAGAAGATGTTCCTGAACATACAGTCAAACAGCATGTAATGTTCTGAACAACTTAAATGACAGTTGTCCAGCAGTGCTCCCATTTTATTTACAACAATCTAATGCCTACGAGATTGTGCCGAAGGTGTGCCGAAAATGTGCCGATGGATTTGCCCAAGTTGTGTAGAATATGGGGCTTATTACGGATGTACGGTAATCACGGCTCTTATTGGGCCTTATTACGGGTGTCACTACACGGTGATAAGTAAGTGATAATCGGAATAAGAGCCGTGATTGCCGTACAAATCAAATTGGAATCACTTCACCGTGACGACAAGTGACAAGTTTTCACCGTGAAGTGACATCCGTAATAAGCCCCATTATGAGTATCACTTGCTTATCACCGTGTAGTGACACCCGTAATAAGGCCCTATAATTTCGGCACAATAGGCTGAGTGACTTACGCCTTGGCTTTGACACATGTCACGGTCTTTCACATGTTTGCCTAATACTGAATTTGATCAATGGATTCAAATTAATCACTTATCTATTACGGATGTCACTTCACGGTGAAAACTTGTCACTTGTCGTCACGGTGAAGTGATTCTCATTTGATTTGTACGGCAATCACGGCTCTTATTCTGAGTATCACTTCATTATCACCGTGTAGTGACACCCGTAATAAGGCCCTCTATCTATTTATGTATTACCTACCTACCTTATTTTGATCGAAACCAATTTTCAATAAAAATGTTTGTGACAAATCCGTTTCGAAACCAATAGGGAATAAGAGTGAATATTATAATGAACTTGTACAGAAAAAGTGTGTTTGCTCAAATACTATTTCAAATATAGCTACTCAAATAAGAGAGACGGGTACTTCAGATTGAGAATCGGTGCAGCTGGAAAGCAGATTTTTTTTAAATTTCTCTTATGTCACATTCTTATTCTAAAATTAGTACTTGTAAGCTACAAGAAGTGGGTGTTAAAGTATGTGTTTGACACATAAAACCTGTCAATATTGCTTTCAGTGCGTCGCAATCAGCGATTTTACGATTCGTGAGCGCTCATTCTGAGTGAACGCTCACGAATCATACGATCGCTGATTGTGACGCTCTGCAAGCGAAATTGACAGATTGTATGAGTCAAACACACACTTTAACACCCTCTTCTAGTTACTACAAGTACAACAAATTGTTACATCATCTAATAATTTCATAATTCAGGAAAACAAATTTTTATAGCAAGTGAGTGGAAGCAACCCTGGATATTCAGTTTTTAGTTTTTACGAAACAGTTTTCAGAGATATAACGAAAATACATTTTCAGTGTGCTCGGGTACAACAGTTTTGATCGGTATCACAGCATCTAAAATCCGAGGATAATGCCGGTTTTGGTTTACCAGCATTGTTTATAATATTAAATCTGTAAATAAATATTTGAACATTTTACGGTGCGGTAATCAAGGTAAGCTTAAAATTATGGTTCTATTTTTAAAATAATTAAATTCCACTGAACTTCAACATCGCTTCGTCAAATAAGCTTTTCCAATATTCAGTACGACTTCAGTAGGAACACTTTCAAATTAACTCATTCACACTCCACTAGAGCAGCAACATCACATTACTCCGATAGTGACGGTGGACGACGTGCCAGGAGGCTGTTCATAAACGATGTGGACACTTTAGGGGGGAGGGGGTTTGTCAAATGTCGGTGGTCCATACTAATTAAAAAAAAAAATTGTAAGGACGATTGTCTACACAGGAGAAGGGGGTGGTCTAAATCCTTTCAAAACCGGTCTACGTAGTTTATGAACAGTCCCAAAGGTCCTGCATCCGTAGTACCTGCACCGCAAAATATATGTAAATAATAAATAAGTCAATATTCGAGTTCGCGAATTGACTTTCTCGCTTTGTAGCTAACGCTACCCGGTCGGCAATATGATTCTGATGTGCTCCATGCCCGCACTCATCGCACTCCACTACGCAGTTTGGCTCCAACGAATGCCACCGCCACCGCTGCCCTGTTGCACCGCTAACAATCATTTTTAATTAATATACATTTTAATTTCACCGCCAACAATAACAGCCCGGTGCTTAAGCCGGCAACATCCACCTGCAGTAGATGCACAAATAGGGGTGAGTGCGGCTGCAAGTGCACCCATGCCACGATGGGTATCCCAGGAGAATCGCATCCCACACCGATTTACTATTGCGTGATCCGGTATCTTTACGGCAGTAAATGCCAGTTAGCACAGCACAACGAATGCAAACAATTTTCCAACCTAACAACAACCAAGTCACACACGTTGTCAACCCATAGAAGAAGTGCGTTGCATTCCGCGAGTTCCGGAGTCACGTTTAATTACACAAGAATTTTTCACTGCCAATCAATCTGTTGTCTTCCTTTCAAAAGGCAGAATTTCCCACCACGTTCGAAAGAGAGCAACGGAAAACGCGTCCGAACCGAACCAACCTTTCTCGACGACTGGTTCGGGTTTGTGTTGGAAAATCAGCTGGTCAGAGTGATGAGGCTCGGGAAAAATGGGAAAACGCGATTCGTTTGTAAACAAATGAGTTCATTTTTACGGCAGCCGCTTCTGTTTGGTGCATTTAGCTACAGAGCGGCAGGAAATGCGCAGACGTTGGAAAGCCACGAATCCGTAAGGCGGGAATGCTTCGGGTTGCCGGTTGACTGGATGAACCAAAACAATACAACGTGGTGTGGAAGGAATGATTTTCCAGTTGTTTACTGGGAAAACTACGTAAAGGCAAGTTTGTTTACAACGGAGCATATGGGAGCATAACATTCATCGTTGTGTGGATTTGATTCTATGCTCATTGCCTATCGATATGTTCATCTAGCGTATCGAAAAGAGAGAAGGATTAGTAATTTCGACAGTCTGCACATTGCCAAGGTGAAGCAAATAAGGTAGTGGAATTTGAAGGAAATTACACAAGTAACTATTTTGGTTTTATCATAGTCTTGATTTGGACTTGAAGAATTGTGTAAAGCCTCCATAAACCTTGCAATGTTACTAAAGGGTGTTACGATCAAAATTTGGATGACTTTAACTTGACGCATTTCTTTTAATCGACCAAAAACCTGAACACCCCTCATTTTGTAGCTGTGTACATGCAGAATGGTGCCTCTATTTTTTTAGACACTTGCTCTTCAGTTATCAAAATGGCGTCCAAGCAAGAGAAGCAACAAATCAAAATTTTACACACCCCCCGCGAAAATCTGAACTACTTGCACGCCGACAGTTTTGTAAGACAATCTGGGAAAAGGCGGCAGACATTTTCAAGCATATGAAACCGTCGAAGTTCGCTAAAAAATATCTGGATTGGCAGGCTATCTGTACCTGCGGCTCGAAAAGCGACATTTATATTGCAACGGGGACCGTCAACCAGAAAATTTACGTGAACGAGTGTCTGAAAAAAAACGTCTGCTGCCTTTCCTGAAGCAACACGAATGTTCCGTGCTGTTATGGCCGGATTTGGCATCCTGCCATTACGGAAAAAGGTCAACAACAGATGGTGCCCAAGGACAAGAACCCTCCCAGTACGCCAGAGCTCCGCCCAATCGAAAAATATTGAGCCAACGTCAAGCGGAACCTGAAGAAGATCAAAAAACTGTTGGAAGCGAGAAGCAGTTTAAGGCAAACTTGCGTTCTGCGGAGAACAAAGTGGACGAGGTGGCTGTACAGAAGCTGATGGCAGGAGTTGAACTTAAGGTCCAGAAATTCGGAACGGGTCAACCGGAAGCTTGGCTAAATATTTATTGCTGTATTTTATATGAACAAAGAAAAATAATCAATTTACACTCATTCTTGTTTCACCAAATTTTGATCGTAACACCCTTTAGGGTGCTGATCTTTCTCTCTTTCTTTATGCAGGTACTCTACTACAGACACCAACATTTATCACGACATAACGCCGAATGGTCAAAATCAAATTTTAATATCGTTGGCTTGGAAAATTTTAGAAGGATCCCAGCCTTAGATTACTTTGCAGATGACGAACGTAGACAATGCTATTATGTCAAATTCAAAAAAGGTAAGAAAGGTGTGATTTTTGCCGCAAAATCACGCTACCGTTCAATTAAATTTTAATCACTATTTCTTAAATAACTACCAGATGCATAATAGGAAAGGGTGTCTTAAAAGCTGTTTGAAAATAAAATCAATTGCGAAATTTATTTAAAAAAATATTTAAAAATTAAATCTTTTTTCAATATTTCAGGACCAACTTTAAAAAAGGGCATGAGTTTTTACACAAAAGATGTCAACATATTTTAATCAATGTAACATCAATAATATGAAGTTCCAGGCGCTGATGGAAAATACAGTGAAACGAATCGTCAAAATAATTGATGCAGAACTCAACTCTGAAGTCAAATTCTTTGCACAGTTATAAGGCTCATGGAATTTTATTATTATTGCTAAGGACCTCATTCCATGGGAGTTCTGGGGAAAAAATCTATGAGAAAAACATCAACTGCAATCTGCTTTCATGGTATTTTAGGCTTCATATGAAACCAAAGCCTAAGATAGTAAACTCCAAGCAAATTTTTATGAGAAATCTCCGTTGAATATGGAATGGACTATTCTGAGGTCTTCAGAACTACTTGAAAGTTCCAAAAATATTCCTGAAGTCAATTAAATTGCCTTGATGTTCTTTTGAAGTTTGAGAAACTAGCCTGATACTCGCAATAATTCTCATCATTTTTTTAACTTCTCTAAACTTTTTTGGATCTCCTAAAGTTCCCACAATTTTCCTGACGATCATGAAATTTCTCTAAAGTGTTAAAAATTTACTGAATTTCTCGAAACTTGTTTAAAATTCATGTTATTTCCCTGCTCTGAACTATCTCTGCTCAGAGGATATCTGAATTTTCTTGAATATTTTTTGTTAGAGATTTATTAGCGAGATCAATGTCTTTCTCGAAGTTCTCGAATTTTCTCTAAAGAATTTGAAGTTCTCATGAAGCTTGTTGTACTACCATGAATTTAATTGAACTGTTCTAAAAAAAAAAAATAAGCTTGCGTGAACTTCTAAACTTATGTGAAAACTTCAATAACTCTCTTAACATCTCTTAAATTCTCTGAAAATCTGGGAACTTCTTGAACTTTCCCGCTAATTTAGTGAAACTAGTGGAACTGAACTTCCCTGAAATTCCATTTGTTTTTGGAGACTAACTTAACTTATTTGAGATGCTACCGAAATGTCCATAAAAGTTCCTGAAGTTCTCAGATCTTCCCTTAAGTTTCTTTTTTTTGCATTAGGGTTCGTTTTGGTAAACGATAAGCTGAATTGATGTCCTAACGATCATACAACGCGAAGGAGCTTGGGATTGAACCCACGGTCTTTTGCTCAGTAAGCAAAAAAGTTTGCTTCTAGGAATATGAGCTCATTTTTAATCATTGAATTGCTATTATTACCATGTAGTCATATTAAAAAATAAAACAATTGACGAATCTTGAATGCGAATAAGCCGGACATTAGACTCATGATGTTTTGCTCAATAAGCAAAAACGGTCGCACTAAGGCCATCGAGCCCCTCATATCACATCATACCGTTACTCGAGTTGCTAATACCATTCAAACATGGCACCGTCGACGACGCCAAGTTTCGAAAAATACAGGTAAACAAGTAATTTGACTATTTCAATATGAAAGGACTTGGAACCGCATTTTTCTGATCAGTAAGCAAGCTAATGCAACCGACAATCTTTCAAAGTAAAATAAAGGCTACAAAAAAGCATTTAAGCCTTCATTAAGTTCCACATGCACGCGACATTCAATGTTTCGATTTGATATTTACACATTGTTCAGGCTTTCATAACAAGTTGTGACCGACATGACGATTTTTTATGTCCTGGATTCTTTTTAACAGGAACAATCTCACCAAATACAATCACCATGGCAGCACCAACACAACCTTCAACAAATTTTGGAAAAAAAAATCGAAAAGAAAGAAAAGGAAAAGTAAGAGGTTGTATCCAAGACACGACTGTAGATTTGACGTAGGATTACGTGCTCGGTATCAATATTCGGCGACAGTGGGAAACCACTTTTCCATCACGTTTCTCTCGTTTTCGGAATGGAATTTGTGGTTTAATGAAAATTAACTCTTAAACAAAAATAATTAATGCTGCTCCTGAAAAGGACCGTTTTGTCGTGATGGTTGAGTAATGCTGAGCTATCAGGGTGTTCAAAACGGATGAGGCTAGCGAGCTGTATGCTGTATGGAACGAGGGTGTCGCGCTTGGCATAGATGGCCCACAGCTACGAAGAGCTACTGAATCCGATCAGTAGCGGTGCGCCTTCTTCCTCCTTCTTCGGTGCATCACTTGCTTGGAGTTCAGCGAGACAGGATGAAATTAGAGTTTGAAATCTGTGCTAGAGAAAGCTCTTTTTGCAGGCCATCGGTGATAATTTTGATCACCATTGCAACAGTTGGACATTTGTGTAATTTTCAAATGTGACTCATTGGAAATTGATAAAGTGTTCATTTCAGCAGATTGGTAGAAAAATTTCCAGTCGATTAGCTTGTTCAGAATTAAAATCCATCCGCCATTGACAGAGTTATAAGTGGTAAAAACCTGTGCACTTTTCGTAACGCGAGCGATCTTGGGTTTTTTTTTTTAAATTGCACCCCCAATATGTCGCCAAAAAACGTAATCATAATTCTTTCCGTGTCGTGGACATTTACCACTGCGACCAGTGTTTTGATCTATTGTGGTGTATCCTCTTTTTACCGTTTGCCGTGTGTTTTGATGATCAACCACTATGTAGAGTGGTCTTCATCATTGATCATCGGCATTATCCCAATATGGAATTGCACTTCGAATGAAGTTTACAACTTTATTGGGTATACTGGTCCATTAAATAGTGCAGCGCAATCACACAATAAATGTTCAGAGCTGTCGCTCTCCAAATTGCAAAAGCGACATTTATCGTCGCTAAGTTTTCCATTTTTTTAAAATGATATTTACTAGGACAATGTCCTGTTATTAATCCAGTGTAGGTGCTTAAATCCTTTTTAGAAAGATTGAGTAACCTTTGCGTACTCAAAACGTTGGGCTTAATGAATCGTTTTGATTGCCGGGCTTTTGAGGTATTATTCCATTTGGATTGTACCTTGATTTTTTCCCAGTTCTTTAATTCCATTTTCAGATTAGAAGGCTATAGACCAATAAACGGTTCGGGACCAATACATTACTGGGATGAGCCAAGCTTTGCTAGTTGATCAGCTTTTTCATTTCCTTCAATGCCGCAAGGACCAAGAACCCAATATAGATTTACCTTGTTACGACAGGACAATTTCTGAAGTTGATTATAGCATTCCCACACTAACTTTGAAGTGTAGATCATTGATTTAAGGGCATTCAATGCTGCTTGACTGTCCGAAAAAATGCATATGTTTGCATTCCTATAATTTCTTTTT